TATGAAGTACATATGTATGTACATATATGTACCTGTGGAGCTCATTCGGTATCAAAATATGTATGTATGATAAATCTTTTGAAGAAGCGCGTTAATTTCAGTGTTTCATATTTATTTTGTAGACAAAATGCAAAGCCTTACTAATTTTTCAACAAAAATAGCTCTGTATTTGTCTTTTAAAATTTTCCTGTGCAGCATGAACTTATGAATCAGATGCAGTTGTAGACGCAAGTGCGGCAATTGTGAAATTATCACTTCTTAAAAATGAAAATTAATGAGGAAATCTTGAAATCACACCTAAAAATGTAGCGCTAATGAGTCTGACTTAGTCAGTGGAGCAACAATGTTTTACTTAGCTTCGCCCCATTTTAATGGTCAACTATATAAGTAGCATCCAATTTACACATATTTCATTACAAATTAACGTCCACTAATTATACGCATTCGCAAATCATTCCAATTTCTCCTCTTCCCGAATTTTGCGAAATTTCTTGAATTTTAATGCCACTTTCATACTCTTGTGTTACTAAGTATCTATACATAAGACAACACACATTTACAAGTCGTTTTCAATAGATAAAATTTCATAAGAATTTGAACTGTGAAAATTTATTTCTGCTCTTTAATTTTACTTTCTAGTACATGCCAACGACTACTCGGTGCTTTAATGAGTTCAATTAAGATGCAATTTGCGCACGTCTCATGGAAGGTCGTAAATTCAATACTGGCATACAGCAAGAGCATCAGTCAGATATTTGAAAAATATATTAAAAATGAATATTAAATTCTCTTCATCTCTTTAAGGAAAGTCAACCTTGCAAGCAATTTTAACTTAAAAATCAATTGCAATTGATACAGAAGTCAATTTTGGGCGTATTAATTATTCAAATTAAATTAAGCTTAACAATAAAAAGAAATTGTGCAAAGCAAGCACATTTTGTCAAAAAGTTTGGATGAGTGTATGATAAAAAAAATTGAGAAAGAAAAACATAGATACTTTTAATAAAGAACATTTAGAAATATAAAATGTAATCAGAAAAGAAAAGTTTAGGCATAAATAGATCAGAAATAAATTTCTTAACCTTTTTTAACTCCTTTTTATACCCTGAATACGGTAAATTAAGCTTGCAACTAAGATTGTAATACCCAGAAGAAAACGTCGGAAACCCTTTAAAGTTAATAGTCATAAATGCTCAGTGTGACGAGCTAAGTTGATTAGCCACGTCCGTCTGTCTTTGATACATCGGACTGGAAGTTTTCACACGTTCTTTGCTCCCAAGAAGCTAATTATTTGTCGGAACCGCTGATATCAAACCACTAGAGCATATAGCTGCCATACAATTTGATCGATCAAAATAATGATAAAAAGCTTATTCATGCCCCTTTATGCTATAAGAAATGCAGCTGTGAAGGGTATTATTTTGCAGCAGTCAAGTCGCTTTTTCTTGATAAATATTACTAATATATTGGAAAACTACTCGAAACCTATTCGGTATATTTTCTGTACTTCTTTTACAGTAGCCTGCTCATATCACGTTAATATAGGCCATTTATGATTATTGGGTTACAAAGACGCCGCCGTAACGTAGAAGCTGTGAGACATTAAAGTTGAATAGCAAGCAAATAAATGCGAATACAGATAAATGCTGGCAAATGTGACCAAATTTAAAGTCAACAGCAACAACAACAGGCGTAAGGCGTATTACGCTTTTATAGCTGTATTAATACGTAAATTCATTACAAAGTTAAAATTGAAATGCACCAATTCAAGACAAAAGAAAAACAAGAAAAAACGTTAACTTCGGTTGCGCCGAAGCTATAATACCCTTCACAAATACAAAGGCCCCTTACAAGAACTTGATTCCAAACGTTCAATTTGTATGGCAGTTAAATGATATAGTGATCTTATCTGACCAATTTCTGTGGAGAATAATTTGTTGCCTTAAGCAATAACTCGTGCCTAATTTCGTGAAGATACCTCATCAAATAAAAAAATTTTCCATGCAAGCACTTTACTCCGATCGTTCAGTTAATATGACAGCTATATGCTATAGTCATCCGATCTATACAATTTCTTCGGAGATTAGATGAATGCTTTAAATAATAATACATGCCAAATTTCGTGAAGATATCTCGTCAAATGAAAGAGTTTTCCATACAAACACTTGATTCCGATTGTTCAGTTTGTATGGCAGCTATATGCTATAGTGGTCCGATATCGGCCGTTCCGACAAATGAGCAGCTTTCTTGTTAGAAAAGGACAGGTGCAAAATTTCAGATCGATAGCATAAAAACTGAGGGACTAGTTTGTATATATACAGACAGACGAACAGACGAACAGACAGACAGACGGACATGGCTAAATCAATTCAACTCATCATGCTGATCATTTATGTATATATGTATTTTATAGGATCTCCGACGTTTCCTTCTGGATGTTACAATCTTCGTGGCAAACTTAATATACCCTGTTCAGGGCATAATAAAGTAACACCTTCAGCTAAAGCGAGCTGCCCAGTCCACAACATTTCAACCACTTTCTAACAAGACAATCGTAAATATGTACAAACGCACGTGTGTGCCTAAGGATGAGCCTTTATTGTCATGTAAATTACATGATTTATGTATGAATCTACAGCAAAATCTTAAAACAGCTTAAGTGGACTTAAGTTATAAATACAAGTAGAGTTAATCTGGTCAACTTTTTCAAGATACGACACTATGTTTTATTAGAAGCAGTAATTCAGAACGGAAAGCTTTGAAAAGGTTATCAAAAATTGGTAAAAAATACGCAGAGATATTTACTATTAGCCAAATCTACTTTAGCTTAAGTCGCTTTAAGCCAATTTTAGCTATTGCCTCAGATATTTAGACATGCTTCTTGCTTGCTCGCCTTGTCGGCTTGGTGTTGTTTCGGCATTTAAAACAGCAAACTACATTTGCTCTCTAAATCAATTAAATGGCGATGTTTTAAAACATGCGCGCTAATTTCAATGAAATTAACAAACGAGATACCAAAAAGATTGAAAAACTTAATAAATGCCATCATGCGCCATTAAACAGCAAATTATTTATCATTTACATATAGTTTATGTGTATATACAATACATATGTATATTTTCTACACTGCGTCGTCAAAACAAAAGAATTATTAATATTTAGCTTCGTTAAAATCACTCAAAACAGGTATTAGTTTATAGATTAAAAATAACTCCGCTAACAGAACCATCATGGTGGTCAAGCTTGAATAAAGCCACCGTGGTGTAGTTATTCCTTCTATACATAAATACGTATTCATAGTCAGGTGTTTTATGCTTAAAACTTAAAAGTTATACTTAGTCTGCATATACATACGCGTATGCGAACTAGTAGCTCTATTTTTGGGATATCTATCTCAAATTTTGCACACGTCCTTTTCCTGAAGATGCTGCTCATATGTCAGCAACGCCATTATCGGACTATTATAATATATACGAGCACGTACATATGTAGCTGCCATACATACTGACCGATAAAAATCAAGGTAAAGACCTTATTGGAAGAAATGCGCCTGCAACCTAAGTTAATGCTTATTCTTGCATTGGAATATAAATTGAGACTAATCTTATAAAAGACTACCGAGAATAAATCTAAAGTTTCATCGCAATAGGCAATTTTGCAACGTTAAACTGCGGAGATTACTTTGGTAGAAGCTTACGCTTTAATGCAGCGGACTACAAATTTTAATACAAGCTTGGAAAACTTGTAAGACTAATGGAAATTTATCCATTAGATCAATATAATCCTGAAGTATCAAATGAAATTCATATCTACCGAAGTTTCAAACGTGTGTATATTACAGTCCCATTATTCTGTAATTCTCGGGTTCACGGGCCTACTACCATACATCGGAACGAGCCCGGCAACTCGGCTATTGCTTAAGAAATGATATATACACCAACAAACTATTCACCTTTTTAACACCCACCCAAACCAACTCATATAGAATCCCTCCCCTGTTGGTCTAACTCTACCGAAACAGCTCGTTAGCTCTTTTCATGGACCATTTACACCCCACTACTACAACTGCAACAACGCTGATGGCAAATGATTCGTATCGTCTCCTGGCACCATACGGAGTTTGGTATTGTAGATGGGCGTAATCGGATCACTGCCACTTCCACTAAACGCCATTAATAAAAAACCTACAAATTGCCATAACTCGCCTTATGATAGGTTTAATGTATGTCCCAAACGATATCACTAAGGGCAAGGAAAATACGTTTGACATCTTTTCGACAGTGTGAAAATAGGTTAAGTCGATAAACAACATACTTCCTATATAACATAACTTTAAATTCCATCTGGTGTATGAATATATCGGGATAAAACTTTGCACAAATAATGCGTTTAAGGTGTGCCATCTCAAGTGAACTATGAAAATCGGACCACAACTGTTCAAGCCCCCATATACCAAAGATGTGGACCCCAGTGGCTATGGCCGACTTCATACCGAAAATATCGGTCAATGTGTAAGAATTATAATTAAAATTCGGAAATAATCCTTTCTTAATAATATTATTTTATCTTACTATAATATTAACAATGCATTTTTGTCAAGAATAGATAAAATCATGGTGACAACATGCCCTAGTCTAATATAAAGTTTTGCCACACCTGAAGGCATTTTCCCAGCTTTGATCTTTGCAAGAGTATACATTTTCGGTTATACCTGAACTTAGCTCTTCCTTACTTGTCTATATTCAATTTGAAATAAAAGTTTCATGTCCATGAAGTATACCCCACAATACAACCAAATACCAAATTAAAAAAAAAACTCCACAAGTGTATTGTAAGTTTTTCAATAATATTTATATACATATATAATATTTAATTATGTATGTAAATATATATTATATTAATAAATGAACTAACGCATACAAATATGTATATATGTAGGTAATACTTGGAAGCCTTAGGTTTAAAAAGTAAATTTAATAATGTAATTTGTAATACTTTACCTGCCAATGTGGAATATTCCAAATCCAATTAAGCATCTAACTGGCTAGAGGGGAAAAATCTAAATTCGACAAGTCAACTGCATAAAAATTAACTGTTGAAAATCGAAAACGTTAATCACTTAAATATGCAAAATAGTTGGCTCTAAACGAAGTGTTTTAGATTAATTATGTGAAAATGGATAAAAAACTGAATGTAAATAAACCAAAGCAAATCAGAAACTGGCTCGTGCCATAACTTACATATACCTAGCTACATATATATAGAGTGTTGGTATGTATGTATGTATGAAGGTTTACTAATAAAATAAATTGACGGAAAAACAAATGTAAAGCGAAGCAAGTGAAGTCATAAGAGTTTAGGTAAAAATCAATGTAAAAGTTGCTCTTGAAGTAAATATACATATGTGTGTATGTGTATGTACATATATGTAGACGTAAATACTTAAGTAACTATGTATGTACATATTTAAATAGTTAGATTTATATTTTATATCATTTGTATGTAATTAATATTTATTATTATATTCTCTACGTAGTTATAAATCCAATTAAAAAAAAAAAATTAATATTTATTATTACTTTTCGACGCTGAGAACATAAATTTTATTGCTTGCAAAAAATACATAATTTGACTTAAAAAGTATGAAAGTGTTAAATTTAATGTGATGCTTTTATTTTAAAATACAAGTGATGTCAAACAATTTCAGCAGCGTTCATAACAAAATAAACTGAAAGGCGAACAGGTGCATGTGAATAAAATATAGAGTATTATGTGAAATACATAATATGTATATAAAATGTAAATATCTATATATTGTACGTACTTAAGTGTTACATTAATATTTTAAGCCTATTTTGAGCGGTGATTTATATAGCGTTATATGGCATTGTTGTATTGTCTGCAGTTAAAATTGAAATTAATAAATATTTAAATCAAAAAAATTATAAAAAAAAAATCGAAAGGCTGCTATTTGCATGTGGCAAAATAAATCATCGTGTGACCGTCTGCTGAATCAGTTGTCGCCCATTTCAGTGGGAAGAGGGAGGCAGACAAAAGCTGAATGGTTATTTGTTGCTTGGTGGTCCACGGACAAAAACAATGTGACTGTAATTTATTTATTTTTCAGCTTAGGCAATTTCAAGACAACACACAAACATATTTTTAAACAAAAAAAGTTTCACAAATAAATCTCACGCAAAGGCAACAGCAACAGCTGCCAGTGCAGGCCATTCACTTGCGTCTTTACTGAAGAATCGTACAGTTGTTTATTTGAAATTAAGATTTGCTTTATGACTTCGGCACCATACCTGCTAAGCCATGCCAGCGTCGTCTTTTATTACACTTCTACGCGAATTCACCCATTCACGCCATTAAATAGCCACTCAAGAGTCGTAGCTGATTGTGGTAGTCATCAGTATTTACATTTAATTTAATTTAATTTCATTTCATTTCATTTAATTATTTTTTTCTGCCCAGTACAGCACTTCCTACACGAGTGGTTCAGCAATCCCTTTGAATTACCGTTACGCGGTAAGAGTACATGAAACTTTTGGCGCTTTTGAAAGTCGAATACTTATAAATCACCGGAACCGCTGTCAACAACGATCCGCACTTACTCACATACATACTCATGTACATATTTACACACAAGTTTACTTTTTGCTTAGAACTTTACTGTGAAAATTTAAAATACACAACAAAACCTCATACATTTTCAGCGAAGTTTCTATTATTCTATTCAGTAGCCTTTTTGGTGTAAATTGTTTTGCATTTCGCGAGAAAAAATCAAACATTTAATGTTTTTTTGGTGTGAACGTTTTTGTTGCTCTTCAACCGCGCTAGTATTTTTCAAGTGCTCGCAGCTATGAACATAAATGAAGTGGCCCTGTCCCTAAAAGGGGTAGGTGGGCCGGAGATGTGTGCACTTTTTTACGCATTTTTAAGCACAATTAAGTGCGGCATAAAAAATACAGCTACTGTTAGTTTAAGCTTAAAAATACATGAAAGCGATAAAATTTTCGCAAGAGATTGCCATAAAAGGGTTTAATGAAAATTTCATAGAATTTTTGCGTGCTTTCTCGTTTTCCTTTTAAATATGCATGCATGTGCACTGGTGAACTTAACTGTGATAGCGGGAACGTAGATACTTTCAATTTCTTTGTAATGGGAATTTTTTAATTACTGGATTCTATATGATTTTTATACCCATTTTATAAATCCGAACAGGTGTTTGTTACGCCTAGAAATTGGTAACCAAAGGCATAACGGCAAATTGAAAAGCATTTCACAGAAGCTTTAATATTTAAATATGTACCAGGTCTGTTCAAATAATGGTGTGAGTTTTCATTTTCTAAAAAAATGTTTGTTTATTTATCAATTTTAAATTTTTTCCTTCAAAGTAGTCCCCCTCAGATATAATACACATGCGCCAGCGTTTTTTTCAATTCTCGAAGCAGTTCTGAAATGCCTTTCTAATTGCGCTCTCTCAGCGATTTTTTTTTGTATTGGGACAATTGGACTTTGGTTTCGATGTTATAACCATATACCCAAGATTTCTCACCAGTTAAGACCCTTTTAATCAAATCTGGATCGCCGTTGACGTCATTCCACAATTCCTGAGCAATGCTCATGCGACGGTTTTTTTGGTCAAAACTCAGCAATTTTGGAACGCACTGCGCTGATACATGCTTCATACCCAAAATTTCCGAAAGAATTGCATGGCACGCCCCAACCGATCTTCAGCAACTTCTCTAATAGTGATTCGACGATTCTCTATAACAATTTTCTTCACTTTATCAACATTTTCATCGGCTGTTGATGTCCTTGGGCGTCCAGGGCGAGCGTCGTTATTCACATCTTCTCGACCTTCCTTGATAAGATTTTACCACTTGTAAACATTTATTTGACTCAAAGTACACTCATCGTATGCCACTATTTTCATACAAAATCTAAAGCAAATTCATTGAACCATTTTTTTCGACAGCAGGAATTCGCCGACCACGCAAAACACGTCTTACTTTTATGCCGCTCACAAACAACAGAAATACTTTATATGGCTGAAACAGTGAATGTACGTAGCCCGCGACATTTGAAATGCACCTTATTTTTGGAACAGACCTCGTACATATGTATATGTTTGAAACAAATGTGAACAGTGGTGTCCAATTTATATAAGAAAATTGTGAATGGATTATAATCAAATTTAGTACTTTATGTTATACGTAGGCCATAGAATCACTTAGTTTTATTCCTACAATATATCTTACTTCGTGTCAGCTAAAATAATGTTAAAATCATCTTCAAAGGAGGTATATGAAATGTAAACTCAACCGAAAAGGCTAAATTTAATATATTGAGTTGATATGAAAAATGTCAGTCAATGGATCGGAATTCATTATATTAGGGATATAAGGCTTTGACCAACGTTTACCGACTCCATTCATATTCAACGCTAAACCACATTAATTTGAAGAAAACTTGTCCACTTAGTTTCATTAAAATATCCCACATTTTGACCATCACAAACGGTTTTAAGTCAGGTGATATGTCGGAAATCACTATACGTTAACCATTGACATTGCTCAGGTATACTCGACAACATATTTTTAAGCAATTTTATAGATAAAAAACTAAATCTCACATACACTGACCGACATATTGGTGCAGTCCAAATCATACAAGTATATAGCAATTGGTTACACAACATTTATGAGGAAGTCAGGATTTATCTTGATTCCTCACAGAAAATCCAAAATAGTCTAAATAGCACAGTTCAATTAATGACGCGAAATTACGACGCTAAAATTTAAAAGTTAATTCTCCACATGCATAATAAAGACTGGTCCTTAGAACACTTTCGTTGCATGATTACAATGTAATATATATATATATAAGTTAGTCGAATGCAATAGTTGCACAGTGGCATAAATGAAGTTATTAAAAAAAAACAAGTAAGGAAGGGCTAAGTTCGGATGTAACCAAACATTTTATACTCTCGCAAAGTCAAATGGTATACTCGTTTGAGATTTCTTTGTGGATTGACTGATATTTTCGGTAGAAGGTCAACTATAGGCACTGGGGTCCCAATATTTAGTACTTAGGGGCTTGAACAGTTTTGGTTCGATTTAGACAATTTTTGGTCACAAGGTGGCATACTTTAAACGTATTATTCACGCAAAGTTTTACCTTTTGGTTTTCGCCCATTTTCGTACATAGAAATATGAAAATAACGTTATGCACCGAATTTGGTTGAAATCGGTTAAGATTGTAAGATATGGGTTTTCACCTAAAAGTGGGCGGTGCCACGCCCACTGATTAATTTTGAACGCGGTTCCAATAAAGTCATCTCATACCATCCCAAAGATAAAATTTAATGTCTCTGGCGTGTTTAGTGCTTGTTTTATCGCGCTTTTAGTATTTTTTAACAGTACCGTTATATTGGGAGTGGGCGGGCTTGTCATCCGATTTCACCCATTTTCACACCGTCCATAGAGGTTCTTAAACATTTGCTTGCAGTGAATTTTGTTATTATAGCATTAGTGGTTTAGGAGATATGCACATTAAACCTATTAGGGGCGGGACCACGCCCACTTTAAAAAAAAAATTTGCTGCAGATGCCCCTCTTCAATGTGATCCTGTGTACCAAATAACAGTCTTGTATCTTATTGCGGAGCTTAGTTATGGCAATTTATTTGTTTTTGATTAATGGCGTTTTGTGGGCGTGGCAGTGGTCCGATTACGCCCATCAGCAATACCAACCGTCTCACGGTACCAAGAAACATGTCTACCAAGTTTCCTGGACATGGTTAAAAAAAAAGTTTTATATATTTTTTAATGAGAGTACACCAACATAAAAAACCATCATCGTTTGTGACAAAAACATGTTTTACTAATGTAATTTAGTTCAAAGAAAGTAATTTGTAAAGTCTACATTCAAACTTCTACCTGAATTACAATTATTTCAGTCAAAACTTTTTAAATAAAAGTGTCAAAACTCAAAATACCGTGCGATACCCTCGTAACAATAATCCACATACGTTCTTGATATTTTCGCAGGTTGAATTCTGCACATTTTACTCTTCCCGATCACCCAGCTCAATAATTATTTGGAATACCAACAAAAATTTTAATTATATTAAAGTAATAAAGAATTAAAGATACTAACAGTTTTATAGTTTGATATTTACACTGATGGCCAGAGAAATAAGCATGTTTTTGTTTCTATTCAAGGTCAGACCATTTGCTATATTAAGTAAAATTGTAACTATTTTTCCAGCCACCAACCTACATTCATACCAACAAAAGTATATATATGTACAAGTGTATAGGTCATGCACTTACCATTTTGTGTTAACCTGTATAAGAAATAATAAATAATTTTGTAAATACGATCATTTAATTTTGTTTACTACACTTTATTCCTTTCATCTCCTTGATATGACACAGAGCACATTTTTTCACCATCATGCAAAAACATGTTTGCCAAACAGGGCACTTTTTTCACTCCTGCACTCAAAGTACATTTACACACTTTAACTTTAATTCATTAACACTGAATTCATATTTATTTAACTCTAAACACACTTATTACTTCATGTTTAGAATAATTAGAATAAACTTCAATAAATATTATTATATATTACTTACTTTTTTAACAACTTGTATCACGATCATGAACCAACGCGTAATTACCGACACCCACGCAATTAAATGACTACACCGCCACACCAAGCTTTGTTTCGCGACAACGAGGAGAATATGAATGAAAATGCAGATCTCGTTTTTTCAAAGCTAAGGAGACAACAACTGCATTTTCTGTTGTGCATGCTTAATGACTTTGTAGTGGAAAATTCGTGTATGTTATAAGAGAAAAAACAAAAGCGGGCAAAGCATTGTTATTGTTGGGCTTTTACAGTGCGTGATTGCAGCATTGAGCTATGTTATGCTTAATATCACTGCTAATTAGCAACAATTAAGCTGTAGTCTTGACTTTTCACTTTCTTGCATATAAGCTGCACTGATAATAAGTGGGATATTAATAATAAATATAGCGGAATTTAGGACAATGTTAAAATCAGGAACATTTAAACGTTAACAGCATATGGATATGTTAGAAATACCTTATATTGAAAAAACTTATTGCTATTGGTAAAAATAGGACGACAAAACGAATTTTATACTATTGTAATAAAAATACTAATAAATATGTAGTACATATGTACATATGCTGAAAAATACTTTCTTTACTACCCCTAGCGCACCTTTAAAGATATCAGCCGATAACACACTAAACTTTCCAACGCTTTAAATTGTATACAAATACATATTTACATCTTATATATGCACATTTTAAATTTTAATCGAACAAAATGTTACATAAATTCGATAAACCTCATAATTGTATTTATATTTATATATTATATTATCTTAAATATACAGTTGTAAAAGTAATGTAGTTATGAATATACCCACTAATAATTCAGCAGTAAATTTAACGACCGATTATATATATAATACTTGTCAATGTGGAAAATTTTGTACAATATATTTCAAAATAGAATATTGTGTATAGAAGTGCGGCATATCCGTGCCGTTTTAGTTAGTATTCACTTCAAGCTCAGGTTGTAAACCAACTGTATACAGAGTTAAAATTGTGGACTAGTCTCCTTTTGGCATCAACTAGTTATAGCACTACTTTACAACTAGAATGAACAATTCCAACTAGTCACTGTGTCAACTTTGTTTTTTCCTTGTCCTTGCAAGTTCATGCACTACGAGATGTCAATTTAATAACTTTTGAACGATGGGGTTTGCGAAAAAATTGTAGGACACCATTTCTGTAAAGTATTCGATTTCCTGCAAAAATATAACGAGAGATACATATCTTTTTCAATATATCTTTTTCAAATAGTCTACTAACCACTTCAGAGTATAAAGTGGAAAAAATAAACGATTATTTCGATCCACTTGACACTGGTAAACAATGGTTTTTTCACACACACGTTGTTATCATTATACTCTCGCAACATGTTGCTACAGAGTATAATAGTTTTGTTCACCTAACGGTTGTTTGTATCACCTAAAACTAATCGAGGTAGGGAGCGCTCATGCTATAATAACAAATTTATCTATCGACAGCGGTGAAATCGGGGGAAAACCCCGCCCACTTCCCATGGAACGGTACTGGTAAAAACTACTAAAAGCGCGATAAATCAAGCACTAAACACGCCAGAGACATTAAATTTTATATCTGGGATAGAAACCACGTTCAAAATTGGACAGTGGGCGTGGCACCGCGCTCTTAGGGGAAAACCCATATCTTGGGATCTGCTTAACCGATTTCAACCAAGTTCGGTACATGACATTCTTCTCACATGTCTATATTATAGTGCGAAAATGGGCGAAATCGGATTACAACCACGCCTATTTCCCATTTTAAATTCGATCTGTTTCTTTCACTTTCCTCTATGCAAATCAAGCAACAATGATTGTATCGGGGTAAAACTTTCCGTGAGTAATGCGTTTAAGGTAAGCCATCTTGTGACCAAAAATTGACTAAATTGAACCAAAACTGTTTAAACCCCAAGGTACTAAATATGTGGACCCAAGTGCCTATAGTTGACTTTTTACCGAAAATGTCGGTCAATGTGTAAGACATTTAATTGAAATTTATATAATAAAATAAATAAATGAAACTATTGATAATAGTATGTTTTTGTGTCAAAAAATGGGTTGAATCGGATCAATACTTCCATAGCCGTCATATACCTAATATAAAGATTTTTGAACTTCCGGGTGACTTTATACCGGATATATCGGCCAATATGTGAGTTATCTTGATGAAATTGCTATACCATTTGGATTGCACCAAAGGATCATCTAAGTCATTTTTTTTTTGTTTGAACAGACAAAAGGCATTAGAACCAAGTCCAAACACACTACCCAGTATCCAAACTTGGCTCTGGCCATGGGGCACATAGTGCCGTGGATTTGTATCTACAAGATCAATTATCCAAATTCAGCGAGGCAGAAATTAAAGGTAGATAGGTAGGTTCACAAATACGGTAACTGATGAAGGATAAGAGTTTTGTAGAAATACTGAATTGGAAACCATAAATCGGAAAATTACAAAGATAAATGAACTTATAATGTCATATAAGGCTTTGGGGTGTAATATGTCCTTAAAAATACATATGGCGGACTCTCATCTGGATTTCTTTTCTGCAAATTTGGATGCTGTGAGTGGCGAACAAGGCAAGAGGTTACATCAGTAAATTTCCTTAATGGGGAAGCGCTAACAAGGGAAATGGAGCACTGGAATGCTAGCAGATTATTGTTGGAAACTGAAAAGGACATTCCAGAAGCCATTTATTCACGAAAATCATAAGTGGTTTTTTTATATTAGTAGGCCCTAATACATTCAAAATTTATATGTGTTAAAATTTTGTTAACCAGTGTTATTAATTTTCCGAAGTCTAAGCTTTGTTTCTGAAAGATCTTTCCAAAGACTCGGTATATGCTTGTTACTGACTAGTTCAGTTCTTATCATCACATGGTAATTAAACTGGTTATAAACTGATAATTTTCGTAACCAGTTTGATGCTCTATTCCTGCTATTTAAATTCATAATATTAATAAATGTAGTATAAAATTATATCAATCAATTTTATAAGACTGAATTACATCTACATATTAATATTTATATACTAATCATAGGTATATAAACATTTATATATTTGTGTCCGCACATGTGTGCGGCAGCATTAACTGACATAAATTATTCAATGATTGTATTAGCCAAGCGATTTAACAACTAATGCAGTGAAATATATGATAAATGTAATTCGAATGCTAACTTTCACATACACATAAATACATTCGTATAAATTTATATGAGTGTATTTACAAGTATATAAAGTGTACATATATAAATATATGAACTAGTTGATTTTGGTGAGGTAGTACTATTTTTTTTTGTTGTTGCACGCAAATTTTGTTATAATTTTTGACATTTTCTCTCTGGCGCCAATAGTCCCAGTCGAATTTTGCTTTGCCACTGGTCACAAATCAAATGCTTACGAAGAGCTTTACTTTGTTGGCAAACGCCAATGAATTGACTCAACGAGATAATAGTTCATGTCAGCTGGGAACTGTGACCAAAATTATTGCATGCTAGCTAAAAAATATTTTTCACACATATCAATTAAAAATTATGTTGTAAAAGAGCCAGCAGGTGGCAAGCAAAAATGTCTACAAAATTTGTTAATAAATTTTATTGTGCAGTAAATTTGACAAACCAGTAATTTTAGTAATTTTGGACAATGAACATGACATTTGGAAATGTATTTACATGTGATAATATGTGTTTATGTGGAGGTATATGCAAATATATTACTCCCTTCTAACACTTGTATGTATGTGTAATTTTATTATGCAATGGACTCGTGCAAATTGACAGCATGTTTACTGCAGCCGTCGCTTGCACACCTGCGACTTTTAATTTTACAATTTTTCGTTTTCTCATATTCTTTTTTTACAAACACTGGTGTCCAAAAAATAAACATTTTCGCCATTGTCAAGCAGGCCTTCTGACCCTGTCTGTCTAATCCTTTTTAAACTGTCTGATTGTGTAAACAATAAGAAAAATATATATTTGAATAGTAAATACAACAAAATATAATATACAAAATTTTTAAAACAAAAAAAACAATGTTCAATAATATACATAAGTATTTCTCATAAGACACAGACGCCTTGATTCCCGCTGTGTAAGCTATTTCCAATAGTAGTATTACTGAACCGAGAATGCAATTATACTTAGGAATATATTTTTTTGGCTAGTTGGTATTTAAAGAGAATAATATAAGGAACTAAAGATTTTGCAACTAGTAGCGTTCCCGAGAGCTTTGCTACACGAAACGGTAAATAAAAAATGAATGAATAGGTACTATTAGCCGTTATCGATTTGCCATTTCTCTGCTCGCTCATTTTCGGCGCAGCTCTCTCCTCAACAAATTTACATGTGGCGTCAATAACAAAGTTAGAGAGTTGAACAAAAGAGTATGGTAAACTGCTTTCTTCAGTACTTACAAGTACTATTTAACAAATTTTAGACAGGTTTTACTATTATTATTGGCTCAAATGACAAACTACTCTCAGAAATGAAAATACAAAAGTTTGCACTCGTATATCCTGAAAAATGTATATTAAGTTTGCCGAGAAGTTTGTAACACCTTGAAAGGAACGTCGAAGACCCTAAAAAGTATATACATACATATGTAAATGGTCAGCGTGATGTTCTCTTTTGTTTTATTTCACCAATGTTGTCATTGCTCAATTTGAATATATGATTTAGCCCACATCTAGCTTTTCAGTTATAATTTTTTATACTGTAAAAACTCAAAACTTAAATCCAACTATTAAAAATAGTCTACCTATTTTTAAATAAACGTATTTGACTGTGATTTTAAGTTAGTTTAAGAATATCTCAAATATTTTGAAGTTTATTTTTTAATTACTACAAAATATCGAGACTGGCAACCCTGCGTTGCAAAAGAGCAATCAGCTGAGTCGTTTCTACGGGAAAAATCCAATTTTCGCTGATATTCTACGGTATTTAAACTCTTTTTTGTGATTTTGTAATATATTAAAACTTTTGATTTTTGAACTTTCAATATTTAATCAAATTAGCTCTCAATAATTAATGTTTTTTTATAATTTTCTATTGAAAATTAATTCTACTAAGCATGGCATCACAAAAGATT